AATCCAGACCCCAAGGCCACACCTGGAGTAGGACAGGACACAGGGAATGGCTTCCCACTGCCAGAGGGCAGGGATAGGTGGGATATTGGGAAGGAATTGATCACTGGGAGGGTGGGGAGGCCCTGGAATGGAGTTCCCAGAGAAGCTGTGGCTGCCCCACCTCTGGAAGTGTCCAAAGCCAGGTTGGGGCACCCTGGGACAGTGCAAGGCATCCCTGCCCATGGAAAGGGCTGGAGATAGATGAGCAGGAGCTGCTCTGCCTCCTCTCCTCAGCTGTACCAGCCCAGAGATGGGATTATTGGGATTGCCCCTGCCTGCTGCCCCTCTGCTCCAACAGAGCTCCCACCCTCCTCTCCCCAGGAGCTCACAAGAAGTTTTCTGCTGTTTTCTTCTCCAGGAGATGAGGGGGAAAGACTGCTGGGAGCACAGTGGGGAAGGACAGGACAGCTCCTTCCCCCTGTTCCTGGCTGTAAATGTTCTAAACGAGTGCTCAGGGCTCTTCTGAGCTCCAGCCCTGGGGCTTCACCAGCAGCACTAAAGCTCTGCTCCGACAGAGCTCCCAGCCTCCTCTCCCCAGGAGCTCACAAGAAGTTTTCTGCTGTTTTCTTCTCCAGGAGATGAGGGGGAAAGACTGCTGGGAGCACAGTGGGGAAGGACAGGACAGCTCCTTCCCCCTGTTCCTGGCTGTAAATGTTCTAAACGAGTGCTCAGGGCTCTTCTGCAGAGTGCAGCAGGCTCAGAGCTCCTGCACCACCAGGGCTGGATCAAAGGGACTGCAAAACACTCAATCTTCATGGATGCCCACCTCCCTGCTCCTGTGCAGCCTGCAGCACGCCAGGCTGGCAGCTCCAGGTGGGAACAGCCCCGGGAACACATCTCACCCTGCCGGAGCCCAGTCCCACACGCAGCACCTGGGGCATTGAAGTTGCCATCAGAATTAAAAAACACCGGCATTGAAGTTGCCATCAGAATTAAAAAACAAGCCGAGGTCTCTCAGCAAAACCCCCCAAATCCGGTAACACAAAGTGAAGCTGACTGTTCTATTAACTCCCATCCTGCATCAGCAATTTTCTAAAGTGTGGAAACATTATAATTGACTTTTCTGCTAGTAGCAAAATGTCATTTTTCCTTAATACTCCCCAAGTCAGTAACGCATTTCAAAAGCCTCCGATGCCACTACCACAACAGGACTTACAAATTAGCACATTTTTAGCTTTTCATTAAACACAATGCCAAAAAAAAAAAAATAAAAGAAAGGGAAAAGTCTTCTGGTATTAGGGTTTCTCTCCTCATTATTGAAAGTACTGCGACTTTGGAACTTCTAGCAGCAAATTATAATGCACTCAGCCTGGGGCCATTGTAAATCAGGGCTTCAAAAAAGGTGTCATGTAGTCGGGCCCTCTTCAAGCACTGAAAATATCGGAGTCTATTTGAAAACGCCTTCTGTAGTCTCTCACTAGCCTTGCAAATCAGCACAGCACTGGGTAGAGCTGCCTTTTATTTTTTTTTTAATTTTTTTTTTTTACCTCGTGGCATCAAGCCATTTCTATTCCGACCAGAAAAAGAGGATTATTTCGTGCTGGGATTTCAAATTTAAAAAATAAAAAAACCCTCTACCTAAGATAACAAGCTGCATAAAACCCCCAAATCGTTTGGGGCTCTTGTCAGGGTCTGGGCAGTGCCTGTGGGGCTGTCACAGCCCTGGGGTGAAATCCCTTTTCTTGGCACAGCAGGGAAAATCCCAGGGGATGTGCCAGCACGGAGAGAAGCCCATCCCACCCCAAACCCCCCAAAGCAGGTGCCACCCTGGGGCAGGGCACTGCCAGGCTCTGCACCCGCCTGCCCCACAGCCCTAAAGCCAAAGGAGGGGAATGCCAACCCCAAATCCCTTCCAGCTTTCCCCAATCCTCTGGAAAATGACTTATCCCATCCCTACCCTCCTCTGAGCATCCCCAAACAAACCCACACAGCTTCCTAAGGTTGGATTCTCCTCTCCTGACAAATTTTGGTGCTTCGAGTTGCTCCAGTTAGCAAGAAAATCATCATTAATGACACAACTAAATGCACACAGAAGCAAAAGGGGAGAGAATTCCAAAATAAAGCTGTTCCCTTCCCAGGAAGGCAGCTCCAAACCAGCATTCCCTTACACCCTTTTCCACCTTCCTTGCTTTAGGATCGACCCTAAATCAGTTTCCCCAACCAGGAGAAGGCAACCAGGATTGATGGAAACATGGGAAGGGGGGAAGGCACCCACAGCAACACAAAACAAGGGATGGACCAGGGAGAGCCAGGTCCCAGCAACATGGAAAAACACATTCAAGGAATTCACCCCACCTTGTCCTGGATGGATAGAGCTGGGCTGTGGTTGGCAGGAAGGAAAAGGATTGCCAGTGCTGCTGTGGTCACCAGAAACCCACAAAACCCAGGAATTCTGGCTCCAAGGCTTCTATCCTCTCCCTCAGGGTGCTTGGAGGGTCACTGATGGGGGCACACACGGTCCCAAAACCTGCCCCATCCTCACAGGGTCATTTCTGACCCACCCAGGAGCCTAAAGCAGGGTCCTATCCTTAGCCACCATTCCATTTTATGGAATGGATCAGTGGATCACGAGCAAATGGGGAACCCCAATCACCTGCTGCCCTCACAGCACAGACATTCCCACATTCCCACCCCATTGGGGATTTTGTGGAGCAAGGAGAAGACGCCGTGCCTGGTGCCTGCCCACCCACAGAGGGGGATTTTGGCTTTCTGAGTAAAAAGAACTCAAGCTCCAAGAATAAAAACCAAAACAAAAAACCCCCAAAACAAGCAAACAAACAAAAACTAAAAAAAAAAAAAAAAAAAAAAAAAAAAAAAAAAAAAAACACCAAACCAACAAAACAGAGATAAAAGAGAATGGGGTGAAACGAGGAAAAAAGAAAAAAGCCACCAAGAAATTCTATAATTATCAGCTGATAGGACTGGACTGGGCATGGTGGGCTTTAAGCCCCAGTGAAAGTTTGAGGAGAGTCAAGGCCTGGGTGGGATCCCATCCTGTCTTTAGGAATAATGGGAGCAGTGAAAGGGCTGGGGGATCAGCAGGAGGTGGGAATCATGCAAACGAGCCATTAGCACCTCTCAGCCCAAAGTTTGGGAAGTTACACCCATAATTACCCTAATTACTCACATCTCCATCCCAAAAAGCTTCTCAGGGAGGGAGGGGGTGCTGGGCAGTGAGAAAAGCCTACAGGCATCAGGCCCGCCTGGAATTTGGGGGTCTGGTGTCGTTTCCAAGGGTGATGGAAGCCCCACATCACCCCCGTGGGGAGCAGCCCCTTCTCCCCCCAAAGCTTGGGACACAGGCGGCCCCAAAAGCTGCCCCATCCTTTAGGGTCATTTCTGACCCCACCGCTCCGTTTTATGTCTACAAACCCATCCCTGCTCCCTGGAAGCTCCCAGCCCGGGGATGTCACCGCCCTGCTGGTGACTCCACTCCAGGGACACCCCGAAGTGCTGGCCCCCCAGTGCCCATACCCAGGGGGGGTTCAGGGCAGGGGTGGCACTGGGGACAGTGTGCTGACAGCTCCCTGCTGTGACAGATGAGCCCAGAACCAGCTGCTCTTCCCAGCACAGCACAGCACAGCACAACCTGTAATTTGCAGCCCTTGCCCCACAGGTGATGGGAAGAGGGGGCAGGAATGGGGGCAGAGCCCAGCACGAACCAGGTGCTTCCCTCCTGGAGCTGCAGCTGCTCCAGGGCGAGGTGGGAGCCCTGATGAACCTGGCCAAGGCCCCACTGATTAACACTGACAGTTCTGGAGTGTCCAGTGGGAAGGGATAAATCAATCCCCCAGAAATGGGTGGGTGTGGGCAACAGGGTTTGTTCTTCTGCACCCCAGAGGGCAAGCAATTATCTCAGGAACTTTCCACTTAGCGTGTGCTTGGGAAACACATCCTCCAGCCCATAAATAACTTGCACAGGTACCTGGCACTTGCCGGTGTCAGACACTGACTGTGCTCAGGGGTGACACGAAACCAAGTCAAGGGCTTGTTGGAGCTCGTGGTGGCCATCCAGCTCCTCTGTGTGCACCTCCCACAGTGATGGCAGTGCTGGAATTCCAGTAGGGAATGGGGTGAACCTGCTTCAGATCCCAAGAGCTGGGGAAGAGGGCTGGGATCTGAGCCCTGAAATGCCCAGCACTGGGTCCTCACCCTGTAAGCCTTCATAAAACCCTTTTTGGTGGCAGGCTGTGAGGGGTGAGGGTGCCACGAGGCAAATCACAGCTGGGTGTCTCCCATCCCAGGAGGAAATCCCACATTTTGGACCCCACAAGGAGCCTCCAGTGCTGAGACTGGGTGGGAGACACGTGATGAGGGTCAGCCCCAGCTGCTTTTCCAGCCTGGCACACGGGGTGACATTCCAAGAGCGCATAACTCAGGGGGTAAACAACTGGGAGGGCTCCACCTTTCAAAGGGATGTGCCCCAGGACTGAATTCCCAGGGGATAATTAACAGCTCTCCAGCAGGGAGGTGGGGAGAAGGGAGCCCTTGAATTTTTACCTGAGCTAAGAGCTTTTTTTAAAATTATTATTCCTGTAATTGATGGGGGAAAGGGGGGGGGGGGGGGAGGAAAATTGTGCAGTTATAATTGGAAAGAGTTTGGAGAGGGGTTTATTGAATTATTTACATCTGACAAAGACGAGCCACTATAAACTAACTGTAGCACAAGACCTTTCCATGTTATATAGAGCTGTTAAAGGGAAATGCTTAAATATCATCTAATTTCCAATAAAAACTGCACAAAATCAATGCAGCCTCGGGACAAGTTTATATTTCACCAGGCAGCAGCTTCTAAAGAAGAGCTCAGCAGCAGCAGCAGCATCTGCAGAAGTGTTTTTGGGGGGGCTAAAGGCGTGAGCCCCTCCCCAGGCACAGGGACAGGGACATGTGTGTTGGCAGGGACAGCCCGACCACAGCCACATAGCTGGGCAGTGCTGTCACAGGGAGAGCTGCAAATATAAATGTGGGGACGTGCTGGGGACAGGGTGGCTCTTTGCAAGGTGGCCCCTGGCTCCCAGAGAGGGCACTGAAGCTCCCACCTCGCTCTGCCCGGGCAGGGATGGTGATCAGGGGGGATGAGGGACCATCAGCCAGGAGAGCCCCCCTCACATGGCTCCAAGGTAGGTTTGGGGCCGTGGTGGCATTGCCACCCCTCAGTCCCACAGCCACGGGGTGCTGGGGGGACGCTGCCATCACAGGGACCCCGTCTGAGCTATTTGGGGGGGCTAGGAGGGGATGCAAGGCTGGAATCAGGAGGCAGTGCTGCAGGCTCCTGCACCACGCCGGACATTTCCCTGCAAGAATAATAATGATGATGATGATAATGGCATCCCTGCTGCCAGAGGGCAGCTGTAAAGCAGGGTGGAGGTGCCAGGAGCTCTGCACATCTGGATGCTCTACCCTCGTGGGGCTTTGGGACCAGGAGGGCTGAGGTGTCCCCAGCGTGAGGACTGAGTTCTGTGGCACCTGCACTTGGGGGACAAGCTCAAACCCTCCTGCTGCTGTGTGTTGTGGCCTCCCTGTGCCAGGAATGAGTTTTGCCAGCAATGGGGAGCTGCAGCAGGCAGTGGAAGCTGTTATGGGCAGACCCCCTTGATGCGGGGAAGGGAAATGCCAAATGTTTTGCTCAGTGGGGTGTGCTCCGCAGGGAGAAGGTGCTGGGGATGGGCGAGGGCGAGGCTAGAGGTGCTCACTGTGACCCCTTCTGGGGCTCTGGCCTGTGCAGGAAGGACACAGCAGGATGATCCCAGGCCTGGTTTTGGCAGGCTCAGATCCCCAGGATCACAGAGCTGTGCCCAAGGCCTGCAGCACAGCATGGCCCCAGGGCAGCCTTGTGGGGTTTCCTCCAGCGCCCAAACTCGCTGCCTGAAGGCAACAAGTGCTTCACCAGCAGCTCAACACCCTTGTTTGCCCTGGCAGAGCCCAGCCCCGGGTCTGTGTGCCATGGGGAGCATTTCTCTGCACTCCTGCCGTGCCAGGCTGGCTTTAACCCTGGTGTTTTTATGCAAATAGATGCAGATTGAGAAGGGTCACGGGGTGTCTCTGCACAATCCCGAGGCCAATCCAGTGCCAGCCAAGGGAATTAGCCCGGGGCTGACCCACAAGGCCTGCCCTCTGTGCTAAATTTACCCGGGAGGCAATCCCTGCCCAGGGAAGGTGATCCCTGCGGTGTGAGGCAGGATTCCTCCGCGTCACCACCAAAATATGACAGGGTCACCAGAGACACAAGCTCTGGGAATGTCACCCTGAGGTGCATGATCCCTGTCTGGATCTCCAAAGCTCCTGCAGGAGCCCAGGGATGCCTGAGGTGTTTTCATACCAGGAGGAAGGTGGCTCAGGCATTACCAGAGCAGGGAATGGGCACTGAAATCCTGGGTGCAGCAAAACAGCAACGAGTGGTGAAAGCAGAGGGAAAATGAGGGTGCCCAGGGGTGTTTTCATACCAGAGCAGAGCTTGAGGAGGTGGCTCAGGCCATACCAGAGCAGGGTATGGGCACTGAAATCCTGCGTGCAGCAAAACAGCAACGAGTGGTGAAAGCAGAGGGAAAATGAGGGGCTTTGGAGGCTCCAAACCAACAGAGAGGCTGGGGACGGCCAGGTGGGAATGCTGGCCTTGAGAGCAAGGGGAAAAGAAGGAGAAAACAGGGAATTATCTCCCAAATTATCTCCCAGTGCTGCTTCCCATGAGCAGGGGCCTTAGGGGGGTCCTTCACCAGGAACCCCTTAGCTCAGCAAGCCCCATCCCTCATGGACACAGCAGGGAGTTTTGGGGCTCCAGAGATGGGTGTCACCACAGCCATGCTGGGAACACACTCAGGGGAACCTCAGGTGGCTCTGGCAGCACGGGGGTGCTGGCTCAGGAATGCTCCGGATCCCCAGGAAGGTCCCAAAAATTCCTCCCAGCCTCAGGCTGGCTCCGCACAGAGGGAACCATGCAGCGTTCCAGCTCTGGCTGGACATCCCAAAATCGGCTCTGAGCGGGTTTGTTCCCCACAGAGGTGGGTGGCAGGGCTGGGACGGGCAGCCTTTGTCACCCAGAGCCCCCAAGTCACGAGATGCCAGTCTCTATTCTCGTCCCCAGCACGGATCTCTCCGGTGACCTTGAGGAAAGGAGCCTGGGGGAAGTGGGAGCAGGGAATGCTCTGCTGGCATCCAGTGGAGCTTTCTGTCTCCTATACAAGGCACTGTCTGGGGGAGCAGCTTCCCCTGCCAAAGCCCCAGGAGCGTTTGTACCTCGCTGCAAGGGCCATCCCAGCATTCCAGGCTGGCCCAGTAACACGTAGCCCAGATTTTTCCACATTGCAACCACAGGACTGGAATCTCACATGAGCACCTTCATGAAAAAAATAAAATAGAGGTGGGGGGAATCCTCCCAAAGCTCAGAGGACACAAATAAGGTTATTGGGGATAGACAGACAGCAGTTTACTAAATTCCTTTTTTTTTTTTTTTTTTTTTAGTTTCCTAAACACTAGGCACCTGTTTCCTCCCAGCCTAAACACCTCTGTCCCAAGTTGGAGCCTCCAAAAAATCCAGCAATTTAATCCAAGAGGTGCTGCTGCAGCGTGGCCCAGTGACCACCTGACCCTCATTGTACCCCGTGTCCATCATGCTCCAGCCCCTCTGCAGTTATAAATACCCCACAACAGAGCCTGGACTGGATTATAATTAGACAGTGAGCCAAGAGGATGGAGCCAATGGGCTATAAAAGCCTGGCCATGCCCCCAGGCAGGATCTGCACACCAGGAAGCACTGGCATGAGCGAGGCACCAGGAGCTGGGACAGCAAAGCTGAGGATTTCCTCCAAGTTGGGCTCGGAGCATCCCTTGGCACCTCGAGCTCCCATCGCCAGGTTCTACACAGCCCTGGTCACGGGAGACCTGAGGAGCCTGCAGGTCCTGACTGACAGATACCACCAAGATGTCAACCTGGTCTTTGAGATCAGTAGAAACCAGCTGGAGTGGCAGGTGAAAAGCCAAGCCTCTTATGGACTCTCAGGTACTTTTCCTTTGAAGGCCAGGCCAGGAGAATGAAATCAGTGGATGTTTACTAACCCTAAGGAGGAGAGGGGCAGTGCATCTCGGTGCCTTGGGTGTGCCTAAGGTTTTTGGTTAGCCCACAGTTCTGGCCATTAATATCCATCACTCTTAATATTTTCTTCTCTTCTGCGCCTACTAACCCAGTGGAAGTGTAAGATCTGTGCATCCATGTGATTTCCTCAGGCTGGGATTAGACACCCTGTGTTTTGGGAATGCTTTCAGGAGGGCTCACAGCCCAAATTCCTCATGGTGCTATCAGAAGGGATCAGATGCTCTTGGTCTCAGGATGCCTCCTGAGGTGATGCTCCCCATGGCCCCAGGTGCTCAGGAGATGGTCCAGGAGGTCCTGGAGCTGCTGGGAAACACAATTCCTCACTCTGGCTGATCCCAAACCCAGCACATCCCAAGCCCAGCCCTCCACCACCCTCCCACCTGGCTTGGGTGCCTTCACTCCCAGAAAAGTTGACTTTTCCTTTCCTGGGGAATTCCTGAGCTGCCTTTAGCTCCTGCCAGCCACTTGCACAGGGGGCTGTGTGCCCTGGTGGCCAGCAGGGCATTGGCTTGCCCACCTGGTTCCACCTGAAATTCCTCTCCTGGATGAGCACACACTGAGGGGGTTTTGTTTCCCCTCCTTCCAACTGCAGTCAGAGCCACGGAGCCAACCAGCCCCTAAAGCTGCCAGAGAAAAAGGGGAAGAGCCCTGTCAGGAGCTGCTCCAGCCCCCAGGCTGCTGGGCAGGGGATGGGAATGCAGGGGCAGGAATGAACCAGGTGCAGTCAGAGCCCCATTTATTGTATTTGCTGGGAATGTCCTGATGAAGGCAGGAATTATGAACCTGACTCCACTCTCAGCAGGCTAATTTATTATTTTACGAAACTACATTATATTAAAGAATACTATATTATATTAAAGAATACTATAGTACACTAAAGAATACAGAAAGGATACTTACAGAAGGCTAAAAAGATAATAATGAAACTCGTGACTCTGTCCAGAGTCCCGACACATCTTGGCATTGATTGGTCAAAGAGTGAAAACAGCTCACAGCAGAACCCAATGAAACAATCACCTGTGGGTAAACAATCTCCAAACACATTCCACATGAGCACAACACAGGAGAAGCAAATGAGATAAGAATTGTTTTCCTTTTCCCTGAGGCTGCTCAGCTTCCCAGGAGCAAGCTCCTGGGCGAAGGGCTTTTCCAGAGAGCGTGAATGCCGCAGCCATTCCCGTGTCCCGCAGGGCTGTGGGCGCTGGAGGAGCGCCTGGAGCTGAGCACCCCTCTGTGCCTCGCCGCCCGCCACGGCCACCCCGACTGCCTGCGGCACCTCCTGCGCCGCGGGGCCGACCCCAACCTGGCCCCGGGGGGACAGGCCCCGCTGCACCTGGCCTGCCAGGGCGGGCACGGCGACTGCGTGGAGCTGCTGCTGGAGTACAGGGCCCAGCCCGACGCGCGCGGCGAGCGGGGCGCGGCCCCGCTGCACCTCTGCACCTCGCGGGACTCGCTGCGGTAAGGACGGCCCTGCTGCCCGGGGCTGGCACGGGGCCTGCAGCAGCCTGGGGCGCTGGGAGGGGTCCCTGCCCTGGCACGGGGTGGGATGGGTCGGGCTTTGAGGTCCCTTCTGTCGTAGGTGAGATGGAGACAATACAAAGCAGCGCGCTCTGTAGTAAAGCGGGCAACGCCGATGAGGGGGGAATGATGCATTTCTCCACTGATGTCAGAAGGCTAATTAATTACTTTATTTTACTATATTATTCTATACTGTATTAATTACATTGCATCTAAACTGAATCTGCACAAGCGCCCAACTCAGCTCCACTGCCCAGAGTCTTGTGACTGTCCCGACACGCACACACCTGGATTCGCTTGGTCAGTGAATCAAAACACTCCCGCCAGAATCCAATTACCAGCTCCCTTCAGGTGAACAATCTTCCACGATGCACTCCACTTGTGAACAACACAGGAGCATAGAGAACTGTTAGGTAAGAATTGAGATAAGAATTATTTTTAATTTCTCTGAGGTTCAGAGAATGTGAATCCCAGAAATATCCTCGGGAAATTGTGCCTTGCTTTTCTCCGTGAAGAGAAATGCGGCTACAACACTCCATTTCCAGAAGGCTTCAAACTGCTTTTATTCTAGCATGCATGCTTTTCAGACACTCTTACAAAGCTCAGAAGTTTACACTTTACTCATTGGTTAGAAGGGACAAACAAAGTGATTATTGGAATGGGCAGTTGCAGGCTTCTCTTACTTATTCTCTTATTTATTTATCCTTCTTTCTTGGTTTGTCTGTCAACAGCCTTGGTAGGAAATTCTTTCAGGGGCAAACGTGGATCCTCATTTTAAAAGCACAGATCCTCTTATCAAACATGGATCCTCTTCTCAAACTTCTCCCTGGCTCACAGAAGTTGCTGTAAAACCTCTTCCACCCAAACCTTCCAATCCAAACCATTCTGGCATTTCATGACAACCTCGCTGTGCATCCCCTGTGCACACAGCCCAGGAGTTTTGCCTGTGGGAGGCAAAAAAGATGCCATAAAGCAAGAAAGATGCCATGAAGCAAAAAACCATGCTGTGATCCATGGCAAGGCTTCCCACAGGCTCCCACATCTTTCCACTGCCACAGCAGAGACAAAAATAAAAAGGGCATTTTGGTGCCAGGCACATTGCTCAGCCTAAGTCTTCTCCCCATGGACAGGAGCAGCCCAGCCTCAGCCTTTCCTTGCTCCTCTTTCCTGGCTATTTCCCCTAAAATCAGTAAGTCCTGCAGCCCAGATCCAGCAGACTTCCCCAGGAGATGCTCAGGATGGGTTTATGGGATGTGGAGCAATGCTCCCACCCCCTCACCCCGCACAAGCCACGTGGGGATCCCCTTTGGCTCACAGGCAGGGCTGGGCTCCTCCGTGTGCACCCACATCCCACCCTGCATCAGCATCACCAGATGAGCATAAAAATTGCCTGGAAAAATATGGAAAAACGCAGCAAAATATGTTTCTGTAGGACTTTAAGTGCCTGGATCACTAGACACACAGAATGAGGATATTTTCCTTTTTTTTTATAAAGAGCTCAGCCACTTGATATTATCCTGATGAAACTGCTTAGGGCCACAGTGAATTCCATCACTTGCCAGCTTCCCTGGAAAGCCAGCCTGGCTTCCATCCTCTGCCCTCCAGGCAGGCAAGATTACCTGGAGGTAGGTGGTGGAAGCGAGGTTCCAGCATGTCACAGACCACGACACGGGGAGAGAGCTCTGCAGAAGGGAAGCAGCCAGAGAGGGAAAGGTTTGATCTCTGCTTATCAGTAAGAGTCTCTGCAAGATGTCCAAAAATCAGGTATTAATCAACTTCTGGTTCAGCCGAAAAAATCTAGGGATGAATCCAAGGCATCCTTGGTGCCGTGAGGGCTGGAAGGAGCAGGGTGGGAAAGGGAGGATGCTGCAGGCAAGAGCTGGATTTAATTCCTTCACCTGAGCTCTCTTTACACCTTCAACCTCATCCTCCAGCCCCATCCTAAAGCCCCAGTGCTTCCCTGATTTTAGGCTTCTCCCCCTGAAGAGATGGGGCCACCAAACCACCCCAGGCCTTGCAGAGGATCTCCTGGACCACAGAGGTCCAGGTGCCCTGGCTTTGCTTCCACGCTTGGGAAAAAATACTATTTTATATAGATGTATTAGAAAACAGACCTGCTCTCACTGATTTGCATGTTCCATTCCCTCGGAAGGCAGAGGGGGATGGCAGGTGAGCCAGCCAGGATCAGACAGCCCCGAGGTGGCAACAGCTGAGTTGTAAGGCCTGGAATATTGGGGCTTTATAATGGAAATGCTGCGAGCCCCTTCACTACGGCGCCCGGCGCTACGGGGGCTTCTACAATAACTGAGCCAACTCCCTTGAAAGATCAAAAATTAATAGACATTTCAGACAGGGTTTGAGGTTTCGACCACTGCTTTTTCAATAGCAAAGACTTTGCTAAAGTTGGAGACTGAGGAGGTCAAGCTTTGGGTAACACAAACATTTCCTCTTTGATTAGGGGGAGACTACTTTACCTCGCCTCCTTTTTTTTTATTTTATTATTTTTTTCGTTGAGTAGTAGATTTTAGGTCATCCTTAATTTTTTACTGACAACAAAGAGCAGGTCATTGACCTACATAGAGAGCTATTTTATTTTTCTCCCTCTCGATAACAATGGCCAGAACACCTATGTGCCAGGTTCTTCTGTATTCCCATATACTCGGCAATTCACCATGGGGGCAGGACTTAAAACCTTTGAGCCTCTCAGTGACTGGGATAAAAAAAAATTATCTGGGCTTCCTTCCAGCCATTTGAGCTTCAGAATCCATGAGATTTCAACAAAAAGGATATCAGAGCTTTAATCTAGGAGCTTTTTGAAGAGATGGAAAAAAAAAAGTTCCAGTAAAGTTCAGTCTTACCTTCTTCACTTTAGGAGCTGTTCATGCCAACGTCGGCCTATTTAGTAGAGTTCCTCTCCTTGACCTCTTTTTTACAGCCGAGATAATTAACATGGTGGGGTAAGATGAGTCTCTAAATTCACTGCACTCTCTCCCTGGCGCTCTCCCTTTTCCCTCTTAAAGCTGGGGATGATTAAAGGAGCCTGCCTTTATTGGCACCCCGAAAAAAAAATAAAATAAAAATAATTGAGGGGGAGAGGAAGAGGCTCGGCGGCGGGGAGGGGAGGGGAGAGCGGGCGTGGGGCGCTGGGCAGGCGCTGGCAGGGATGCAGGACACGGCTCCTGCCTCCCATCACGGCAGGAAGGGATGCTCAGCATCTGCAGAGCCCTCCTCCAGATCTCCCTGAACGTCCCAGGCTTCCCTCGTGGCCAGGGAGAGCCTGCCTGGGGAGGAACTTCCCTGCTCCAGCCTCGCACTGGAAAGAGCTCGGCAAGGAAGGAGCTCTGGGAAGCCAAGGGATGGGACAGGAAGGTGTCACCCCTGCTTCCAGCTGAGCAATTCCCTTCTCTGAGCCTTCCCTCCACCATGAGAGCTGGAAGCAGAGTTCTCCACCTCCTCCAAGCCCCCAGAGCCGAGGGATGGGGGATGAAAGGTGGGATGGGTCAATGCAGGAGCTCAGGCAGCGTCCGAGGGGCACTGGGATAGGGAGCAAGCACCAGGGACAGGGGAATGGGAGGGATGAGCAGGAAACAGGAGCTGAGCAGGAAGGCAGGAGCCTAAAAAGGTCAAGACAAGGCTCCAAATGCCAGGGAGATGGGCACTGACCCAGAGCAGCCACCCCCAGGCACCCTCCAGCTGTTCCAGCATCATCCTGGGCACTCTGCCCTGGGGCTGTGGGAAAGCAACACTGCAAGGGAAAAAAGCCCAGAGATTTGAAAAGCCAGCATTTAGCATCATCTAGTGCTAAACCTCATCCTCTGCTCTGTTCTGCCTTGCTAAATACAGCACTCGGAGCGTTTGGAGCCATGGTTTTGGGAAGCTGAGCAAGAGCAGCTCCTGGCTGGGTCCTGACAGAGAGACAAAGAGCCCAGGAGCAGCCACAGGGCTGGGAATGAGGGCTTCCACAGACAAACCTCGCTCCGACCCCGGGCACGGGGGGGAAAAACAATCAGGAGGTTTTTCCTTGAGGAAACTGGGGCCTGAGCGGGTTCTTGGGACGGGATTTTCCCTGCAGCCTCCGCTGCCCCAATCTCCTGCTCCTCCTGCTGGTTGTTCTTCGCATCCCGTTCCTAACAAATCCCGCTTTCCCAGCCTGGGTGGTTTCCATCCCAGCCAGTGGGAGCCTTCCTGGCATAAGGAGGGCAGTGGGCACATCCTGACTCTCTGATGGGTGAAGAAATGAAAAAAAAAACAATCCCAAATAATTTGCTCCCATTCCATTTGATCCAGGAGCCCAGGGCAGGGCGAAGGTGGAGCACCAGCAGCGCTCACCCCAAATTTCCTTTGCCTTAAGAAGTGACTTGCCCAAGCAAGGGGATGTCACCCATCACCTGCAAACGGGTTGGGAATGGCTTGGAAGTGAGTTTAAATTAGTCGAAATTAGGCGCCAGGCTGGATGGAAAACAAAGTTATTTGTTTTGCCACGGAATTTCTGCTGAGATAAACGGAAAGCTGAACTCAGCATGCTCTTTCGGTATTCCCAGAGGATTGGAGAGGAGCCCTTGAAAAAGCAGCAAGCCATTGCTGGGCCTTATTTAATGGGATTTTAGTCCAGTCTGGTGGCAACAACCAGGCTGTGAATGAACATACAGGAAGCCAGAAACGCTGGGGAAGTGTTGGAGCTCATCAGCAGAGATTGTAGAGGTTAACAACAGCACCTACCCAGAACCTGCTGATGCCCAGCTATCCAAACAGGAGAGAAATGCACCTCCCAGGCTCCCACCCTTTCCATTCACTGGAAGAGATCTTCCCTTGTTCATAACTCCCTGCCAGCATTCCCTCTGTGCCAAGGGAGGAGCACCCAGGGGAAAATCCAGTATAAAGCAGCTTGGGTTTCTTCCAGCACTTGATAACCAAAAAGAAAAACCCTCCAGGGATGCAGCCTCAGGAAGGATGGTCCTTCCACAGGAGAATATTTGGGAGGTCTAGCAGGAGATGAAGAGGAACTGAGCTCCCAGGGTGGGGTTCTCTGTAAGGGAAAAGCCCAGGGCACAGTGAGGATTGGAAATCTTCAGCAGGTGGAAATCTTCAGCCCAAACCAGGGCAATGTTTGTGCCAAGGCACAGCTGCCTCCTTGCCTGGGAATGCTTTAAGCATGATCTACCCCCAAAAAAAGAAGAAAAGCAGAACAAAAGGGGATTTTTCTCAGGGCGAGGCTGCTGCATTTTTGCAGCCAAGTCAGCAATAATTTTTTCCCATTTTTTCCTGCAGAACCATCATTGGTTTGCCCTGAATGTGTTATTTTAGGGTGCAGAGCTACCTGTGACATCAGGATTAAGCTGCTCTGGAGAGATCCCAAGAGAATAATCATAATCAGGGCTACAAACTCCCTGCTGACAAGGATGGCCAAGACCAGTAAAAGAGACTTGAGTGTCTGAGTGATCCCCTCCAACAGCAGCCAGCGAGCCCCAAAAAAGCCTCAGGGAGAAAAAACACTCCTGAAGAAAGGGATTCAGCATCCTAGTGCAAAAAATTAAATTGGAAAGTAGGGACCTGAGGATTTTGGGAATGGCACAACCCCACCTAAATCCACTCTCATGCAACCACACCCCAAGCAGAGCATCCATGGTGGAGCCTCTGGTGAGGGCTGGCACCTCTGGGAAGTACAGGAAAAGATCCTGAAGGGATGTTTCTGGCATCTCAGGCTTGAGGTGCACGGGAAAAGCAGGCCAGGGAGGTGTCTGTAAATTCTGCACTGCCAAGGACAATGAAAATCCTCCCAGCAAATCCTTGGGGAGGTGATGAGGCAGGTCCAGAAAAGTCAAGTATATTATTAGTAGTAGTATTATCTCATTATTTTATTATTGATATTTTTCCCACACATGTTAGCATTCCCCTGGGCCAGGAAAAACCAGCAATATCCTGGTGCTGTCCTTCCTCCCTGAGGTTCCTCTTCTTCCCCATTCCCGCTGCTGGAAAGATCAGGCTGGGATTTCTCTCCCCTTCCTGCTGCTTCTGTGTCAGCCCAGACCCTCACCCAGGGCTCCACTGACACCTGAGCTGAAACAAAAGATGAAAATTAGAGAGGCAGGAGGAGTTAAAGGATGGTGCTCAGCCCCTGGACTCCACGATCCCCGTGGGTCCCTCCCAGCTCAGGATATTCTGTGGTTCTGTGAAAACACAGCCCTCTGCAGCAGGAGCACACACAGGTGTTGGGGACCCTCCAAGGGAGCAGGAAAATCCATTTTTATATCCAAGCAAGTGGGGCTAGGATGGTCAAGGGGTTCAGGAATGGTCAGGGGTGGTCAAGGATAGTTGAAGACAGTCAAGGACGGTTGAAAATGGTCAAGGTATTCAAGGATGTTCAGGAGTGGTCAAGGATAGTCAGGATGGCAAAGGACAGTCCGGGATGGTCAAGGATGGTCGAGATGACTAAGGGCAGTCTAGGATGGTCAAGGGTAGTTAAGATGGCTAAGGACAGTCTGGGATGGTCAAGGAGGGTCAAGGATGGTCAAGGATGGTCAAGATGGCTAAGGATAGCCTAGGATGGTCAAGGGTGGTTAAGATGGCTAAGGACAGTCCAGGATGGTCAAGGAGTGTCAAGGTATTCAAGGACAGTCCAGGATGGCCAAGGATGACCATCCATGCATGACCCTGGTCAAGGAGCAGAGGGAGATATGGCCCAAACCACTGCTGCCCTCACTGTGGAGGGCACCAGGGCACAGTGCCACCTGCCCAGCCTGTGCTGCTCCCTCCCCAAATCCCCGAGTGCCACACCCCCAGCTCCAGCATGACCTCCCCCTCACCCCATACCATTTCCCACCCCACCATCCCTCATGGCTCCACCCGCACCACCCCTAAACCCCCATCCTAAAACCCCTTCCCGCAGGTGTGCCAAGCTCCTGCTGATGCACGGGGCGGCCGTGGAGCTGCCGAGCGAGGCGGGAGGGGACACGGCCCTGCACGTGGCCGCCCGGCCCCGTCTCTGCCCCCACGCCCGCCTCTACCTGCGGCGCCGCGCCCGCGTCGACGCCCGCAACGCGCGCCAGGAGACGGCGCTGGGCGTGCTCTGCGGGCAGGCCCCGGCCGCCGGCGACCATTCCCTGCAGCTTTTCCAGCTGCTGCTGGAGCACGGCGCCGACGTGGAGGCCCGGGACGAGAGCTGGAGGCGGCCCTTGCACCGGGCCTGCGGGGCGGCCAACGCCGAGCTGGTGCGGCTGCTGCTGCGGCGCGGCGCCGACGCCAACGCCATCGACTACGACGGCGTGTCCCCGCTGGGCTGGGCCCTGCAGGGCGCTGCCTGCCACCCGGAGCTGCGGCCCCACCTCAGCGTGCAGCTCCTGCTCAACCACGGCTCCCAGAAGATTTGGCCCCCGGCCTTCGTCAAGGTACCGGCCCCAAAATGGCGCCCGGAGAGCGCCTCGCGCGCGGGGCCTTGAGGTTGGGAGGTCTGGGACGTGTAAAGGTGGCGGGGTGGGAGAATTTGGGAGTTTCCCTGTCTGGCAGGGACTGTGGGGATGGGGAGTGGTGGAAGTGAAGGCCCAGCAGAAGGGCAGGAGGGAGCCAGCGCAGCTCGGAGGGGTTTTTCCCTGCCTAGGGAATATCAGAGACAGGCTTGGCTCACGAGCTGCATCGTGGCTCTGCGTCCCATTGATTTTACATCAAGCCATAAAGAAAATATTATCCAAGCCAAAAATGTAAATAAGGAGCGAGGGCTGCATCCAGAGGAAGAAGTGCCACAGCAAGGCGGGACTTCCCCCTGCTCCAAAAGGCACCAGGAGAAACCCCACGCCTGCCCCATCCCGACACGGGGCTATCCCAGCCCGGAGCGGGGTGGGGTGGGACAAACCCTGGCTGCAGCAGGTGGCTGCTGTCCCCTCTGGCCCTGCCTCTGTGTCTGAGCCCTCCCATGTCCCTGGACAGGTGCTGAAGTCCTGCGCGGCCGTGCCGGAGGTCATCGAGGTCCTCTTCAACTCCTACTCCCAAATCCCGGTGTCCCAGGAGTGGGCAGAGGCCGTGCCAGAGGAGGTGTTCCAGGTGAGGCAGCTCTGCTGGCTTGACACCCAAGGAGGGGGTTTTCCCCACAGAACTGGGGTTTATTTTCCCCACAGAATGATTCCCCCTCTGCCCCCACCCCCAGACTTCATTTGGATGGAAGAAAACCAAAAGGAATATTCCCTAGAGCAGCACCACACACCTGATCTCTCCAGGTTTGCACCCCTTGAGCTCCACCACCCTCTGACCCCACATCCCTGCCCCAGCCTGCCATAAAATCCGCTCTCAGCCTCGAGAAGTGAGCCTGGAGCCAGAGCACTTCCCAGCAGGAGCCCACATCCCTCGTTTTGGTTGGGAAAAGCTCCTCTGCAACAGGTACAGCCAGCCCGCTCTGGGGTGATTTGGGATGGCTCCTGGCCCCACAGGCTGTGAAGGATGGCTGGAATGCAAACAAAGCCTTCAGGGTGCTCTGAGGAATGGGAGAAAGGATTTTTCCCCCAAATTAAGGCAAGGCCAAGGCTGCACAGCCCAATCCTGCTTTGCTCCCTCAGGAACAGGGTCTCTTCCACATCAGCTTTCTGTGGGATGCTGCTGCGCCCTCCCCGAGGCTGCCCTTCCCCAAGGTGCTTCCACTGGAGAATTCCAGTCCACAAGGTCCCAATTCCACAGAATTCCAGTCCACAAGGGCCCAATTCCACAGGACAATTCCAATCCACAAGGTCCCAATTCAGCAGGAGAATTCCAGTCCACAAGGTCCCAATTCAGCAGGACAATTCCAGTCCACAAGGTCTCAATTCCGCAGGAGAATTCCAGTCCACAAGGTCCCAATTCAGCAGGACAATTCCTCACCCACCCTTTCCCTGTGTCAGTGCCCGGACCCCACTCCCACAGCCACACCTGTGGCTCCTTCCCTCATTCCCTTCCATCTTCATCCCTAAACACCTCCAGCTTCTCTGGCAGCCAGGAGAGGTGCCAGCGGGGCGGGTGACACTGTCCTTGTCCCCTCTCTGCAGCAGCACCGGCCGTTCTACGAGTCCCTGCTGGGGCTGGCGGGCACCGCCCGGAGCCTGCAGCACCTCTGCCGTGCCACCATCCGGGCACGCTGCGGGGACAAGTGCCACTCCCGCATCCCCCTGCTGCCCCTGCCCGCGGCCCTGCGGGATTTCCTGCTGCTGGAGCCGCAGGGAGTGGTGCTGTGAGGGAGCAGATCCAGGAGCAGATCCATGGAGCAGATCCAGGAGCATCCATGTGATGATGGGCACGCTTGCCATGGCTGTTTTCCCAGGATTAAAAAGTGCTTTTGGCTGGAAATTTGTATAGCTTTTGGGGTTTTTTTCCCCCCTTCTAATAGTGCTTTAAGCAAATTATAAAGAGTAATAAAATGATGAGTGGCTGGTAGGAATAATGCTGATGATGGAGGATCCCTGCAAAGCAGCGGGGGCTGCTCAGGTGTGGGACGGGAAGGACACGGCAGGGGACACAAATCATCCCGGGGACCCAAACCATCCCAGGGGACCCAAACCATCCCAGGGGACCCAAACCAGTCCAGGGGACCCAAACCATCCCAGGTCAACATCAAATCCCCTGGGATAAATCTCACCTGGGAGAGGCACAAGTGCTGTGTAGAAGCTCTCAGCAGGATGCAAAGTCTAGCAGCATTAATAAAGACCCTAAAATAGATTTAAAATTCAATATTTTAATTTTTTTTTTTAATGTAGGAGCCACCAGGAATGTTGTGGCTACTCCATGCAGCAGGGTGACACAAATCCCTGTATCTCCCATACCCCTTGTGCCTGTCACTGTCCCCAGGCTGGCACAGGAAGGGGCTGGAAAACCCAAAATTGTGGAGTTTGTGTTCTCATCATGTCCCACAGTGGCTGGGCCAAAGGGACCAGGAGGAGCGAGGATTTGTGTTTCCCACACCCTCAGGCTCCCCAGGTTAATCCCTGCTGGACCAAAGGGATCCCTTGGGAGAACAGCTGTCCTCCTGCCACAGTGCTCCCCAAAATTCTTCCAGTGCTGAATTACACTTGGTTTTGGTTTGGCTTAAAAAGAAAAAGTGTATGTATTGTATTTTTAATATATAAACAATATATTATACTATATATAATAATATATAATATAATATATAATAATACAATATATAAAATATATAAATATATAATATATATTATATATAGTCGTATATATATGTCTGTATATATATACACATTTATATACATATATATAAATAGACATATATATAATTGTGTGCATATATATACATCTGTGTATACATACACATACATGTATATATATTGTATATATATTTATATTTTGTATATTATATATGTTATATTATATTTCATATTTTTATATATTATTTCTTTTTGTTTATATATTTATATTATCTACATGATATATATATTTATTTATTTACTTATATATATATATATATATATATATATGAATAACTCATTTTTCCTGTTTGGCTGGACTTTGCATCCCTGGCTCCCAGAGCTGCTGCCCCTGGAGCATGGAAATGAGGAGGAAAAGGAATTCTTCCCCTCTCCAGCTTCCAGCTGTACTCCCAGGAGTTCCCTGTCCCTCCGCGGGCAGCCCCAGCCCTGCCCCGTGTCCCAGCATTTTGTGCCTCCCGGGGGAGCTCCCATCCCAAATCTCCGTGATCCTTTCCCGGCTTTTGGACTCCACGCCTTGTTTTGGTGGGAATTGTGGGGGATTCGGGCAAATCCCATCCCGGCTGAGCCATCCCCCGCGCCTGAGCCGAGCCAGCCGAAATCCTGCTGCTCCTTTCACCTTTGTCACCTTTGAGCTCCAGGGGGGGGCACAGAGGGTCCCGGCAGGACACCCAAATCCCCAAAAACCCCAATCCCAAAGACCCCAAATCCCCAAAAACCCAAATCCCCAAAAACCCCAATCCCCAAAAACCCAAGTCCTCAAAAACCCCAAATTCCCAAAAACCCCAAATCCCCACATCCAGAGGGGTGGAGGGGGAATGCACTTGAGAAGGGGCAGAACAGGGGGACAGGGGGGACAGGAGGGGACAGGGAGGGACAGGTGGGGACAGGAGGGGACAGGGGGGACAGGGAGGACAGGAGGGGACAGGGGGGACATATTATTATTTTGGCTATTATTATTATTTTCCAGCAGCTAAAGACGGGAGGTCACATTAACTTCTAATACGGAGACACATAAAAATGCGATTATGCCTGCTAAACAGAACACAGTAGGCTGCTAGTTAAGACAATGAGATTTCCAGGAAGCGATGCATAAATTCTTCAAAAAATGACACATTTTTCACGTTTCATTCCAATTAAATTACTGAGGCAGCTAACACAGCGCTGCGCACGCCATACATTTGGGGGAAATGAAGGCTTTCTGTGTTTTTTCTCCTTTTTTTTTTCTCCTCTTTTTTTTTTTTTTTCTTTTTAAGTAGATCTGGATTGGCCCTGGCAGGGGGACCCGCGTGGGGGGGTGCGCGGCTCCCCGCGGCCGGCAGGGGGCGCGCTTTGCTCGGCCGTCGGGGGCAGGCGGGACCCCCCGAAAAACACCCGAAAAATGAGATTTAAAGGCAAAAAAGCCCCTAAAAAACCGACTCCGAGCCCTTTGGGGTGGGGGGGTGGTTCTCCTTTGGGTTCGCGCCGTTCTGCCGGCGCGGGGGGACGCTCCGGGCGGGATGGTGGTGGTGGTGATGATGATGATGGGGCTCCGGGTGGGATGATGATGATGCTGCTGCTGCTGATGATTGGATGTGCGTGTTTTATGAAAGACGTTTAATATTAAGCTGCTATTAAGGCAAAAAATGTCAGAGACCTTCCTCTCTCCTCGAGGATTTTTTTTTCTTCTTCTTTTTTTTTTTTTTTTCCCCTCTGGGTGGGGGTGTCCCGAAAAACACCCGAAAAATGAGATTTAAAGGCAAAAAAGCCCCTAAAAAACCGACTCCGAGCCCTTTGGGGTGGGGGGGTGGTTCTCCTTTGGGTTCGCGCCGTTCTGCCGGCGCGGGGGGACGCTCCGGGCGGGATGGTGGTGGTGGTGGTGATGATGATGATGCTCCGGGTGGGATGATGATGATGCTGATGATGATGATGATGCTGATGATGATGGTGCTCCGAGTGGGATGATGCTCCGGGCTGGGGTTGATAAGTTTGGCCGGCGGTTTACACATATATATATATATATCTATTTAAATATATATATATTTATATATCCCAAATATAGATTATTTTAGATTTTTTTTTTCCTTCCTGGCAGTGCCTTATTTTGATGCAGATGTTCTGGGGAAAGGCTCGGTTTTTTCGTTGTTTTTTTTTTTTAATTTTTTTTTTTTTTTTTTTAATTTTTTTTTTTTTTTTTTTAATTTTTTTTTTTTTTTTTTTAATTTTTTTTTTTTTTTTTTTAATTTTTTTTTTTTTTTTTTTAATTTTTTTTTTTTTTTTTTTAATTTTTTTTTTTTTTTTTTTAATTTTTTTTTTTTTTTTTTTAATTTTTTTTTTTTTTTTTTTAATTTTTTTTTTTTTTTTTTTAATTTTTTTTTTTTTTTTTTTAATTTTTTTTTTTTTTTTTTTAATTTTTTTTTTTTTTTTTTTCCCCTCTGTGTGTGTGTGTGCTTGGGCTGCTCCTGCTCGTTTTCCCACCCTGCGGTATTAAAGCACCGATGGTCCAGCTGCAAAACAATTTCCAAATAATGGGAATTCCCCGCCCTGCTGCACACACCTCTCTGATTGCAAGGAGCTGGGGAGAATTAAGGAGCGATGCGCACCCTCCCACCAGAAAAAAAAATAAAAAATAAAAATAAAAAAAAATAAAAAATAAAAATAAATAAAAATAAATTTAAAAAAAAAAAAAGGTTTAGCCGTCCCGTCTGGTGATTTTTCCCTGCTCGGGATCGAGCCCCCCCGGGCTGCAGGGGGTGGGGATCCCAGTGGGAAGCCGAGTTTGCCTCTCCCCGTGTGAGCAGGGGCTCGTCAGGGCGATAATCAAACCCCGAAGTGGCCCCGGTAATGAAACAGCGTTTGATTTTTTTATTTATTTATTTCAATTTTTTAATTTTTTTTTTTTTAAGGCGCGGGCTGCGCTGGGTGATCCGCAAAGCGATGCGAATCAGAAATGAGATTTTTTCTTTTTTTTTTTTTTTGAAGTCCTAATGAACCTGATTGCAGGAACATTTATAATCCCCCATGGCTTTAAATGAAATCAGATATAATCAGGAGCTATGGGGAAAGGGAGTGTTTACAGGCAGAGATTGGGAAGTGCTGCTGTATTAGTAAAGATGCTGCTCCTTCTATTGATGTCTGAAATGATGGATAATGTGAGAATGGCAAATATACTATTTGTCTAATGGCTCTGCAATTAAATTCCCCTGTAAATGACCCATGCCTCATTTCATCCTAATCTATGGAATTTTGATTGAATTCGTCAGCTCTAATTGAAAAATACTGCACTTTAATGTCTGCAGTGCAGTTTCAGGACCGCGCTGGTTTTAATGAGACGGTGCCCCTCTGACCCGGGAATATTTTAGACTTTTATTCGGGATTTTTTTTTAATTTTTTTTTTTTTTTAACCGGCGGATTTCTCAACTCGATCCCACGAAAAGCCGGGAACGAGAGGGTGCGTGGGGTTCGCCTCCGCCAAACTCTCCGTGGCGATGTGTTTGATATGGGGCTCCTGTAAGGCTCTTGAAATACTCGGACTCCGCTGGTTTAAATATGTATCCATTTAAAATAATTTTAGAAATAGCCCACTTCCCATTATCCGAACGAATTTCGGGGTAACAGCCGGGATTATGGAAGTCAAATTTCTTTTTATTTTATTTTTTTTTAACCTGCACCGTGGTATTTTTTACCCTTTTAGGCTCTTTCTTTTTTTTTTTCTTTACCCGAAAATCCCGAGCACCTTCAAGTTTGTTAAAAAAGGAAGGGGGAGGAGGGAGGGGGGGAAATAAAAAAATTAAAAATAAATAAATTAAAAAAAAAAAAAGAAGCGTGGAGTGGAAGTGGGGGAAGCCCCGGGAGGGGCTGGAAGGAGTTCAGAGGGGAACACGCGAAGGAGTTAATGGGATTAAGCGGCGAATGAAGGCTTTAGGGATTGTTTTGGCGTTTGTTTTGGGGTTTGTTTTGCTGTTAGATTTTTTTTCCCTTTCCCCTGTGCAGGGATGGGGGGAGGAAGGAGGGGGGCGCATCCCTCCGTGCACAGCCGGGGGCAAATCCTGCCCTGCCACCCTCCTGCCTGCTGGCAGCTCCCAAAATTCAGGAATCAGCCCGGGAGCTGCCTGCCATTCCCGGGAGGAGGATGCGAGCCGCGGCCGCATCCCGGATTTTGGCTGGCACCTGCAGCGGGAGGAGCTCGCTGATTTTGGGGGGTAATTCTGCTCAGGGTCTCTTGCTCACCTCCCTTTCCTTGGAGGGGGAAAAATATACTTTAAAAGCGCTGCAGGGTGATGTGGGCTTGATGATTTTGGTGACGTTTCCCACGCAATTAAAATTTCCCCGGCAAAATGCAAGAATTAGCTGGAGAGAGCCTCTGGAAGCCCGGGAGAAATCCAGAAATCGGGACTGACCGGCCGCTGGCATCAGAGCTGTGCCCACCTCGGGGAGGGTGGGCAGCGATCCCGAGGGGCTGGGGCAGGCTGTGCCCGGGGCATTCCCACCTGGAGGGGCTCCAGGTGGGAATGATGCCCACCCCAGCCCTCCCTTCCCTCCAAAGCCTCGAGCTGGGGTTAAAATCCAGCAGGGAATCACCCCCGCACCCCACAAACCCTGCCCGCTGCCAGGATGCCCCCACACCGCTGCTGGCGAGGTTTTTTGGGGACAAACCCTGCCAGGAGCCTCCCGCTCCATCCTCGGGGTGCCCCATATCCCCCACGGCCCATCCAGGGGGAAAAGCGCTGCCCCAGCCCAGCCCGACCCTCTGATTTCCACCCAATCTTTGGGGTTCGCCCCCTTCTTGCGCTTTGGGGTCTCCCCTAGCTCCTGTTCCCCTCCCCGGACTCAGGGACCGCCGAGTTTTTGGTTGGGTTTTTTGGTTTTTTGGTTTTTTGGTTTTTTTTTTTTCCTCCGGGAGAAAGGGAAAAAAAAAATCAGCTAATTATGTGCCGAACAAAAAGCCCATTCTTGCCCGAAATAATGCTGCCGTCCTGCAAAGGCACTTGTTTGTGGGCAAATTTTGAAGGGGGCTGAGGGTAAAAACAGCTGCGGGAGCTGGCTGTTGGTACACATTTCCATGCCTGATTATCCCTGCCCTTCCCGCAGTCCAGCGGGCCTTTCCTGAGAAAAAAAAAGAGATTTTTTTATTTTTTTTTTTGCCCCGCTGGACTCGCTTTGCTTTGCGCCCCTCGAGGTTTTTGGGGTTTTTGGGGTTTTGGGTTTAGCTCGGGGTTTAGAAGGGGAGGGAGGCAGGAGAGGGCTGCGATCCACATCTCCGGGTGGAGAGGGGGAAAGGGATAAAAAACGGGAGAGGAAACATCCGCGGGGGGCACGGCACCCTCTGCGGGGCTGGGGAGGCTCCCGAGCTGCTGCTCGTGTGGGACACATGGAAATGAGCTGGGGGAGCCAACTTTTCCCACTCCCTTCCAGCCGGAGCTGGGCCCCGAAAGTGTTTGTGCACACGCATCCCACAAACCCCCCATCCCCATCCCGAGCCCCATTCCCAGCTGCTCCCGTGGCCATCCCCTCTCCCTCCCCGCAGAACCCCCAAAATCCTGCTGGGGGTGACCCACAGGGGCTCAGCGCCCCAAAAAGTGCCTCCGGGCTGGGGGGGCAGCCAAAACGCTTTCAGATGGCGGCCGAGGGACGGACAGACTGACCCAAAACGCGGGCACGGCTCGCAGCCCCGCCCGGGAGAGGGATTTGGGGGGATTTGGGGGGATTTGGGGGCGCAGCTCCTCAGGGGCCGGTTTTGGGGCGGCGCCGTGCCCGCGCAGTTTTGGGGGGCCGGGTTTGGGTGGTGCCCGGCGCTGGCATTCCCGGGGGATGCCGCAGATCCCGGGGGATGCCGCAGATCCCGGGGTTTTGGGGCAGCCTCCCCCGGGCACAGCCGATTCCAGGCGGGGCTGGGCTGCAGAACCCCAAAGCCAAGCGCAGGGGCACAGCCCGCACCATTGTCCCGGGAACACTTCAACTTCCCAAACCCACCCCCGGCCAACTCTCCTTTCTCTCTTTTTTTTTTCCTCCCTCTCCCTCTCCTTCTTTTCTTTTTCTTTCTTTTTTTCCCCTGCATTTAGTTTTATTTTCCGAACCACTTGATCTTTGCTTGGGAACCTCCATTAATTGCCTGGGTTTGCCTCTTCGCCTGGTCCCTTTATCATTATTTATGGCCTTTGAAATTGTGTAAAGTTCCCTTGACGTTCAATTTACAAGTTTGGGGGCTTTTTTTTTTTCCTTTTCCCCCCCCTTTTTTTTTTTTTTGTTCCAGCTTTTGTCCTCGCCAAAGACGTCGTGTTGGAAAAGGCTTTGAGCCGGCCAACATGAGAAGCTCGCCGGAGAAAAGGGAGCAGCCCCTCCATCGCTTTTAATTCCGCCGTGTTGCTGAATGGCTCTTTTACATAATTGCAGAAGCAATTTCAAAGCCAAGCCAGGGGCTGACTTTACCCAGAACCACATGGAGCCTATTTGGGGGCTTTTCAAAAAAAAAAAAAAAAAAAGAGAGAGAGAGAGAGGAAAAAAAAAAGAAAGAGGGGGAAAAAGGAAAGGGGGGAAAAAAAGAAAAGGGGGAAAAATGGAAAGGGAAAAAAATGGAAAGGGGAAAATGGAAAGAAAAAAAGGAAGGGAAAAATGGAAAGAAAAAAAAAGAAGGGAAGGGGGGAAAGAAGAGGTGAGAGTGAATTTTAAAAAACAGGGAAAAGAGAAAATAAAGGAAAAAATGAGAAAAAAAGGGGAAAAAAGGGGGGAAAGGGGGGAAAACGGGAAAAAAAGGAAAAAAAGGAAAAAAAGGGGGAAAAATGGGAAAAAAGGGGAAAAAAAGAGGAAAAAAAGATAAAAAAGGGAAAAAAAGGGAAAAAAAAGGGGAAAAAAGGGGGAAAAAAGGAAAAAAAGGGAAAAAGGGGGAAAAAGGGGGGGAAAGGGCAGAAGAAGGAGTCAGGAGCAGGCTTGCGGGCAGGGCTGCTCGGGGCCAGCCCCGGGCCGTGTCGCGCTGTCCCGGTCCCGCGCGGCCGCTCCGTCCGGGGCGCCGTGAATGGGCGGGGCCGCGGGGCGTGGCCTCGCCGCCTAGCCCCGCCCCCTCCCGCTCTCCGCCAATGGGCGGCGGCGGCGGCGGCCACGTGGGGCGGGCCGGGTTCCCAGGCGGCCAAAATGTGAATGGGCGCGGGCGGCGCGGGCGGGCAGAGCGGCGGCGCCGCCGCCGCCGCCGCCGCCCGCGCTGCCGCCCGCGCTGCCGCCCGCGCACCCGCACCACCACCCGCTGCCCAGCCTGCCCTCCGGCTTCTGCTCCAGCCTGGCCCAGGGCATGGCGCTCACCTCCACGCTCATGGCCACGCTGCCCGGCACCTTCCCCGCCTCGCCGCAGCACCAGGAGGCCGCCAGGAAGTTCGCGCCGCCGGGCAACTTCGAGAAAGGCGAGGGGATGCCCCCGGACGGCGGCGGCGACGACGGCAAAGCCTTCCTGGGCAAGGACGGGGCCCTCCTGCCCTTCCCCGCCGCCGACGCCGTCCAGGCTTCCCTCGGTGAGTGAGCGCTTCCCTCGGGGGGGAGCGGGAGATGGGGGGCGGGAGAGCGGGGGGACCCCCGGGAGGAGACGGGAGCAGCCCCGGGAGGAGACGCGGCCGCGGAGCAGGGAGGGCTGAGCCCGCCCGGGAAGCCTCGGTAACATCGGTGCGACCCAAAGGTGCGCCGGTGGATGGGGGAAAAAAAAGAAGGGAAAAAAAAAAAAAGGGAAAACAACACAAAAAAGGGTCCCCGGGGAATCGTTTTTGGGGCTGCGGGGCGGGCACGGAGCGTGCGGGATGCTGACCGGGGCCTCTGCTCCCTCCCTGCCAGCCGGGGCTCTGCGCGGCCCGGGCAAGGAGGACCCCAAGGCGGAGGAGGACGCCAAAGGCAAGGAGGAAAGTTTCTCCATGGACAGCGACCTCGATTACAGCTCGGACGACAACATCCCCGGGCAGGCGGCTCACAAGGAGGAGGACTCTGGCAACGCGCTGGAGGAGAGCGCCCAGAACCCGCCCAGCTCCAGCAGCACCACGTCCACGGGCAAAAACCGGCGGAGGCGAACAGCCTTCACCAGCGAGCAGCTGCTGGAGCTGGAGAAGGAATTCCACTGCAAAAAGTACCTGTCCCTGACCGAGAGGTCCCAGATCGCTCACGCCCTCAAACTCAGCGAGGTGCAGGTGAAAATCTGGTTCCAGAACAGGCGGGCCAAATGGAAACGGGTCAAGGCGGGCAACGCCAACTCCAAGACGGGGGAGCCGTCGCGGAACCCCAAGATCGTGGTGCCCATCCCGGTGCACGTCAGCAGGTTCGCGATCAGGAGTCAGCACCAGCAGCTGGAGCAAGCCCGGCCCTGATCCCTCCCTCGTCCCGCCAGGTTTGCACGGGAAAAGTTTCCAACCCGGGGTTTGAAGGCGACCCGCCCGCGTAGAAACAAAAACGAGGGAAGCAAAACAAAAAAAACAAACAAAACAACCAAACCGGCAGCAGAAAAACCCACGGCAAAGAACTAGAACAGCACGAAATAAGACAGGAAAAACAGAGCCCCGCGCGAGCGCGTGGCAAATCCCCGAACTCGGGAGCGGAACTTTCCGCTGACGGCGGCTTGGGAACGGTCTGGGTTGGGAGCAGGGATGTCCCGGCTGGCAGAGGCACACGAGCCTCCCTCCCACTCCCCACACACACACAGAGATATTTATTGCGAGGCTGCCCCGCTCAGGGCGCCCTGGACGCGGAGCCGGCGCTGGATCCCCTCCGCGGAGCATCCCCGCGGCGCCTCTCGCCCTTCTGGGGTTTTCTTTCTTGTTCGGGGGCGAAAGGTAAAACAAAAAAAGCGACAAAAAGACCACAGAACGAACAAACAAACAAAAAAAATCCGAAAGAAAACTCAGAGTTTCATTTCACGCCTTTTTTATTGTTTGGTTTTGTTGCCGATGGCTGAGTGGCAGGCACTGGGGAATGAGTTTTTAAATCTTTTTTTTTTCTTTTTTCTTTTTTTTTTTTTGCCTGGCTTTCTGTCGATTTGGTTTGCCTATTCTACCAAGCCATGTTTAAAGGAGAGAAGGGGAGGGGGGGTGGGGAAAGGCAAAAAAAAAAAAAAAAAAAAAAAAAAAAGAAAAAAAAAAAGCAGCACGATCTTCACTATTGTGTTTAATTTATTTCAATGTAGCTTATTTCCTTATAAGTTATGAAATTTAAAAGCAAACTAAAAGTCTTGTGAATAAAAACCGACAAAGAAACAAAAAAGACTTTTAAAAAAGACAGAAAAGAAGCCCTCCAGCCCCCGGCTGTTCTGTCCAGGATCTGGCGTGGAGCTGATTTTCCTTTCCCCTCCTGCGCTGCCGGAGCGGAGCGATGCTGCTCTCGCCTGGATTTTTGATTTTCTGCTTTTGTGTTTTGGTTTTTTTTCCCTTTCGCGGAGCCACATTTATTGCCGGGGAGGGGGGAGCCGGGTGGAAAACTTTCTCTTTTTTTGGTTTGTTGGGTTTTTTTTTCCCTATTTCCCTTATTCCGAGGGATGAGGAAGCTGCAAAGAAAGCTGTTTAGCTGTGACTGCGCGGGGCAGAGCTCCCCGCACCCTCCCCCTGCTCGGGGCTGCAGCCGCTGCCCCCACCCCGTGTTTTTGGGGGGTGCCGCTTCCCCCACCCCCCAGCCCGCAGTTTGGGGGTCCGCTCGCTCCCCCAGCCCCGTTTTTGGGGTTTTTTTGGGGGGTGCAGCCGCTGCCCCCAGCCCCGCGCCCGTTTTCGTTGCGCCGGGGGTGGGAGGGGTCGGGGCCGAAGGGTCCCGCGTCCCCCCCTTCCCTTCCCGCATCCTTTTCATCCCTTTCCTTTTTTTCCCTCCCCATTATCCGCATCCCGGCTCCATCCGTGCCGGTGCCACCGTGACATCGGCGGCGCCGATTTGGAATTAAAAATGAAATTTTCCCCAGGAAAACGGAGCGCCGGGGGGGTGATGGAGGAGGGGGGGGGCTCTATTAAAATGAACTAATTAAATCTGGGGGGGTCCTTCGGTCCCGGGACAGGCTCCCAGGCTTGGCCGCGCCACATCGCTCGCGCTTCATCACTTATTTATTACAATTATAACAATTAATGTTGTTAATATGATTTTTGTTGGGGTCGGAGGGGGTTGGCCGTGGCTCCGGGGGTGCACGGGGGGGCACAAAAAGGCACAAGCCCGGCCAGCAGCGCCGGGAGCCCCACGGGCAGCCGCGGACACGCGGGAGCAGCAGGAAAACACGCGCGCAATTCCAGCCTGCCTTGGAAAGCTTTAAAAACCGCGATGTTCATTAGAATGATGATAATGTTTTGGGGTTTTTTCCGCGCGCGGGGGGGCGCCGGCAGCCGCGGGACACGCGTGGGACAAACGCCACCCCCGGCGCTGCTTCCAAAAAAAAAAAAAAAAATAATAATCCCTGGAATTGCTTGGATTGAGCCCGGGCGGCGCTCGGAGCCTGCAGCCGCGGCTGTGCCCCCAAAACCGGGGTGTACCCCCAAATTGGGGCGTGCATCCCAAACGGAGGTGTGCTACCCAAACTGGGGTGTGCATCCCAAATCGGGCTGTGCATCCCAAATCAGGCTGTGCCTACAAATTGGGGTGTGCATCCCAAACCGGGCTGTACCCCCAAACCGGGCTGTGCATCCCAAACTGGGGTGTACCCCCAAACCGGGCTGTGCATCCCAAATCAGGCTGTGCCTACAAATTGGGCTATGCATCCCAAACTAGGCTGTGCATCCCAAACTGGGGTGTACCCCCAAACCGGGCTGTGCCCCCTCCCGGGGTGCGAGTGCGGGTTTCTGGGGAGGAGCAGCTGCTGCTCCCCCGTTGCCCGGATCCCTCCCCGGCAGCGATGGGCTCGGGGTCCCCGCTGCCCCCCTAACCCGGAGCGGGGCTGCAGGGGGAAGCCCCGGGCCGGGGGCCGGAGGAGAAGGAGATAAACAAGCGAGGGGGTTGATAGCTGTCATCATCACCATCATCATGGCTTTCATTTGGCTGCCTAATGAGTCAGATCACAGGCAGAGAGAAAAATTGTCAATCGCCCGGGCTCTAATGAATTTTTTTGCAAATTGTAATCAAGCCAGGCCGTCTCAGCTCGCTGATTAATGAGACCCAGGAGGCCCGGCCAGCACCTCAGCTTTTTATTCCATCCCGTCCTCCCTGCACTAAATTAACAGCAACTTGTCTGAGCTTCAAATTAACTCCCAATGATTAATTCTGATGGGGGGGTCTGAAGAATAGCTCGTCCTAATAGGCACTGGCCTCTGATGCTGTTTGAAATTAATACACTTCCCCTTTGGCTGCCGGCTTTAATCCAAGGTTGGGTTTTGACATCACTATATTTGTTGTTACAATAAATTCCTCTTACATCTGCGGATCAAATAATCGCCGTGCCGGCGAACCCGAGCTCGGAGGGGCCGGAGAGGCTCCTCTGCCAGCCCCAGCAAAGCCCGGCCGCGGGTTCAGCCAGAAATGCGGATTTTTGAGGCTGGGCAGCGGGGCTGGGCTGGCGCTGCCTCGCTGTTAAATGAGACATCAGCGCCTTTAAATCCCCCCGGGGTCACCCCCGGCCGCAGCGAGCCGGCGCTGCCCGCAGCCCCCGAACTCGGTTCTGTTCGTCCTGCCTGGGTTGGTTTCACTATCGCAGCCGGGACCGGCCGGGCTGGGGCTTTCCCAGCCTTTCCCCTGTGCCTGCTGAGCGCGGCTGCCTCGGGAATGCCCTCCCGAAGGACCGAGCATCCCCCTGGGAAGAGACCCCCACCCCTCGGGGCCGGCTCCATCCCCGGTGGATGCGAATCCCCAATCCCCGCCGTGGCTGTCATAAAGCAGCCGGCACCCTGACACACAAAAGCAACACCATATGCGCGGAGACAACCTGTATGAATTATAAATTGCGCCATAAAAATTGATTGCCGCTCCCGAGCCCCGGGAGGCGCGGGGGGCGGGCCCGCTACGCCCGGACCATAGAGAGCCTTAATCTATTTATTTCAAGCCACTTCATCCTCCCTGCCGCTTTTGTCCCGGCCCCAGCCTCTGGCTTTGTGGCAGGACCGCGGAGGTTTTAAAAGCCCCTTCCCCTATAGTTTGAGGTCTCCTTGGCTGCCTGAATTACAATGGCTGAAACAGGATTACACTGACCTGATCCTATTAAAGTCGCCAATCGATCTGTGCCGCCCTCCCTCCGGCTCCGCCAACTCGCTCGCCCAACTTTCCCCGGGGCTCGGCCGGGCCGGAGGGAGAAGCCAAAGGCCGCCCTTCCCAGCGGCCTGCGGAGCAAGGAAGGATGCAGGGATGCAGGCTACTTTTGTTTTCTCGGTTTGTTGCCTTTTTTTTTTTTTTTTTGCCATTTTAAACGGAGCCACGTGCATTTCAAACCTCTGCTCCATCTCCCCGAACCGCGGCTCCGAGCTAAGGCGGCGCTTCCTCGGTGCAGGAAATCCAGCCAGACCCACGAGGAAAAGGGGGATTTCAGCTAAAAGCAAAGCGATCCTGCGGGATGCCCGCAGAATTCCGCGGAGTTCGCGCAGATTTCAGCCACGAGCAAAACCCTCCGCTGAGGGGGCTGCGGGGCACCGCGTTCCGCCTTTCCCAGACAACCCAGCGTGGGGGAAACCCTGGGAATGCCCAGCCCGCATCCCTGCGTGCCCGGAGCATCCCCCGCGTCCCTCGGGCACCGAGCGAGCCCCGGCTCGCTGGGATGCGGGGCAGGAGCGGCCGCAGCGCCGGGCTCCGCTGCGCCGGGGATGCTCCGGGGATGCTCCGGGGATGCTCCGAGCCAGCACCTGCGGGATAACGGGAGTTCACCCCCGCCTGTCCCCCGGGAGAGCGATCACCCGGCAGTGGAACCTGGGGGGGTCACGCCGAGCTGGGTTGGTGGGTGGTGGCGAGTGGCAAAGAGCCCTCTTGGTGCTCGCATCCTGTTAATTAACCCAGAGAAAGGCAACCCGGGGATTCCCGATTGTCATTTTCCAGGAGAGTGTTACCGGCAGAGAGGAGCTGTGGTGCCAAGTGCCTGGAGATCCCAATCTTCTCTAAAAGACCCCAGAAATGGCCTCCCCAAAAGGGACATTAGCAGGGATTTTGTTGGGTTTTTTTTTAAAGTTAGCAAGTCTTGATGCTACCTGAAGTGACAAAAATTGCAACTGCTTGAGTATAAACAGAAATATTTACTGTTTTCCTCCCTGGTCTGATCCTCTTCAAGATAATTTTGGTTTTGCTGCAAAAGCATCCATACTCGGAAATGTGGGGAAAGGTGGGTTTGGCCCCCAAAGCCCTTTAAAAAACATCTGCCTCCCTTGCTGGCATTCCCAGAACAGTCTTCAAGATAATTTTGGTTTTGCTCTAAAAGCGTCCATACTCGGAAATGTTGTGGGGAAAGTTGGGTTTGGCCCCCAAAGCCCTTTAAAAAACATCTGCCTCCCTTGCTGGCATTCCCAGAACAGCCAAAAGAAACCATGGGAAAGGGTTATACAAATCAGAGAATTGGATTTCTTTTTGTTTGCTGGCAGCCTTGGCTCGAAACCTTGTCAGCTTCCTTGGGCCACAGCAACAACTCCTCCCCACAAATCCTCCTGCACCACCCCCGAGGTGTCCTCAGGGCATCTCCCGTCACCCCAAACGTGGCAGCTGGGGCTAAGACACCCTATCAAATCCACAATTCCATGATAAAAACCACCGGGCCACCCTCCTGCACCCGACTGGGAAGGCACCTCTGAGTTTTTAAGGAGCAATCACTGCTTGGTTTTCCTCCACTGCTTGGGATAAAAAAAAAAATAAATAAAAAAATAATAAAAAAAAAAAAATCATCTTAGTATCTTAGTGCTTTTCACCCAAAACCCCAAAAGGATTTGGGTTGAAATTCCCTCTCCTCACCCCAAACA